TTTTACCATTCTAAAAATATTAAAGGGGATAAAATATAGATGGATATGCCACCTATGGGAACCGTTTTTAAAAAATGTTTTTATTGATTTTAGAGAAGAAGAGGGGTAGAGAGATAGAAACATCCATGAGAGAGAAACACCAGGCAGCTGCCTCCCACACATCCCCTACGGGGGATCCAGCTAGCAACCCAGGTATGTGCCCTGACCCAGAATTGAACCGGTGACCTCTTGGATCATGGGTTACTGCTCAACCACTGAGCCACACAGGCCGGCTAAACCTTAAAATTTTCGTAAATAATGCAGAAGTCTTACACATTTGCTGCGTGCTTACAACTTCATTTGTGTTACTATCATCCGCTCTTGCCCGAACGTGGGTGTCATGGACTTGGGACTGCTGCCGTTCAATTTCATTGGTTTCCTCTTCACGGGGAGTGTAGTACCTGTCTGATCCTTCTGTTAGAGAGAATGGAGTTCAGGAATATGAATCCCACTTAAATTTGTACAAATGATCAAATAATGATAAATCTTGACATACCTGTTTAACATTTAAAACTAGAAAAATCATTACTGTTTTTTAAAATTTACTATTGTTCAAAGTATTACAGATGTCCCCCTGCTTCCCCCATTGACCCCCTCCACCGCACCCCCACCCCCTCCCCAGGCTTTCACGGCACTCTTGTCTGTGTCCATGGGTTATGCATATATGCATATAAGTTCTTTGGTTAATCTCTTCCTGCTCCCCCGCCCCCTCTGGAATATATCAAATTGTTGCATGCTTCAATGTCTCTGGATCTATTTTGTTCATTAGATTCCACATACAAGTGAGAACAAGTGATACTTGTCTTTCTCTGACTGGCTTATTGCACTTAGCATGATACTCTCCAGGTCCCTCCATGCTGTCTCAAAGGGTCAGTCCCATCGTTAGCACAGGTTTTGACTTAAGGCGGTGCTCTTATGTCTACGTCGGAGTGAATAAAACACACGTCAGCTTCTGAGCCCTTGATTTACGGATGCTACCATTGGCTCTTAAATGGAGTCTTTTCTAACCTTTGCTTGTATTGTGAAAAGCAGAGAATCAGTTCAATTACGTGATCAGTGATTAGTTTTCATAAGACACTGTGAAGTCTACCCAGTGATCTAATAAAGTCAGGGCTTAGTGAATTTGAATTTGTTTTCCCAAAGGAAATGATCCTCAATATTTTCAGGAGGATCACATTTAACATTCTCCCATAAGGAATTCAGACTAAAGAAGGATCGATGTGCCCTTGCTATTTATTACAACGTCAGTTTTCCCGGAAAGGTTGTCCTCTTTCAGAAGGAAATTCAATGTGCAGAAATTTAAACTTGACAATGGAGAATCATTTAGAACTTTTAATTTAATGTCTTCTCCAGGTTGGATTATATGAAGGGGTCAGAACCTAGAAAAAGGAGTCAGGGTAAAGTAAGGTTTAAGTAAAATGCAGTGGCCATTGGTGGGAGGGTAGTAGGCTGGAGGTTTGGGGGTAAAGAGGAAGGAGAACAGACGGACTCACATACAATGAAAAATGTTTCTGGGAATAAAAAATGGCTCATAGAACAGAATGAAACATATGGTCACTTCTGGTCACTTATTTTAGTGAATGAGCATTGAGTCATTAAGAAAAAAAGGACACATCTCTTTATGATTTTCTAATACACTTAGTCTGCATTAATCTTTTTCAGTCATCATTAACAAAAAAGTACAAGAGAGTAAGAAATGTTCACATGGATGGCTGCCCAAGAGAAGCATGATGACTTTCACAAAGCTTTGTCATATCCAGTTTATCTTCGTGTGCTAAAGGTAGGACACCATCTTTGTAGTTACCTTTAGGACATCAAATGCATTTGAGGGTACTGCTTTTTATAATACTTTTACAATACTATTCTTTTTTTCTTACTTTGGCATGAGAAATTGTATACTCTACAGTGAGAAGCAGAGAATCAGTACAATTGAGCATGGTTCAAGTAAGAATCAGTATTCTGGCAAAAGCTTTTAAAGCGCTAAAAATAAATTGTGTTAAATCGCTAACGCCTTCAAAAAATGATTAGTGCCCAAGCTGGTTTGGCTCAGCGGATAGAGCGTCAGCCTGCGGACTGAAGGGTCCCAGGTTCGATTCCGGTCAAGGGCATGTACCTTGGTTGTGGGCACATCCCCAGTAGGGGGTGTGCAGGAGGCAACTGACTAATGTTTCTCTCTCATCGATGTTTCTAACGATCTCTCTCCCTTCCTTTCTGCAAAAAATCAATAAAATATATATTTTTTAAAAAATGATTAGTTATGGAGACAACTCCAGTCAACAATATATCAAGATTGCTTTAAAGAATGTAAATATACTTGTCACTCTGGGATAAATTCCCAAGTACAATTAGAAGTTATCTGGAATAATGAAATTTTTCTTTAAACACATAGTGGTATACAAGGAGTTACTATGAAGTATATTTTGAAATATTCTAAATGGTGTCTTCAAAATGTTTGAAATAGAGTTCTGGAAATATTTTGAATAATTAAATACACATCTGTTTTTTCTACAACAGTAATTAATGCACAAGTTAAATAAAATAGCAACCAAGGTAAGCACCAGGACACAACAGCACATACCTTTGTAGCACAGATTTTCCCGACAGCCTCCTCCAAAGCTGGGTGGGCAAGCTGAACAGGGCCTTCCGTGTTTGTAGGGGGCATGGCCCCACCAGTTCCCCCTTAAAGAGATGATCAGTACTCTTAAGAGGTAGTCTAATAGCATCATTTATAAGACATTGCAAAATAGTACTGTTTAAGAATCTTCTAAGTGGTGATTTTGTTGTGTAGATCTAAGACATTTATATCTTTCATCACAGAACTTTTGGCTATCTGGTTTAAATGTAAAATGCTACCTCATTCTTTTGAAATATACTAAGTAATTTGGTATACATATTGTTAAAAATTACAAAATCAAACTTTGGCAGAACACCAAACTCTGCTATGGAGTATTCACCTATATTCCATTTGTTTTAATAAAAACAGATTTTAGACTTAGCTCTGACCCTACATATGACTGTGTGATATTTACAATGTAATAATTTGAATGGTCTTTACACAGGTAAAAATGCACTTCTCAGTTAATCTGCAGTTGTTCATCTCTAACAAATCAAAATTATTGAATATTTATGCAGTGTCACAGTAAAAATGAAGGCACAACTATGATTCCCGTCTTCACAAGGATCATATTTTCAACTTTATAATTCCTTTGAAGTACCGATTTTATGCATCAGGCAACCATAATTATTGTTGTATTAAGTAAACTGAGTTAAAACTGTATACTTTACTCAATAAAACACACTGAAAATGAGAAAAAAATCAGCAATATAAAGTTATTTTCATGTTATTAAGACAATATAAAGTTATTTTCATGTTATTAAGAAAAATTTACATATGAAAGTGGTCTTTTGTCTACTTACTTTGGGGAATAATTGCACACTAAGTAGACAGCTTTGGGCCATATCTGCCCCCAGATGTTCATGTTATGGCACAAATTAATGGCACAGCCTATTCTGCTGCTTGTTGCCCACACCACCTACGGGAGAGAACAGAAATGGCAAGTGGAGATGAAGTGAGATGCAACATATCCGAGAGGGAAATGTATGAAACACACTTTGAGAAACAAACCTCTATCATTCAAAATGAAATGAGGCAATGTCAAAAGTCAAAAAGGATATTTTTCTTAAGGCTTGGGAAAGCGCTTAATTCAATTAAAATAACAGAGCAGCAGCTCAGTAACTCTATCTGGCTATCAAGTGTAAAGCATCTTCAGAATACATTTACTAAATAATTCAAAAGTTACAGCCGAAACCGGTTTGGCTCAGTGGATAGAGCGTCAGCCTGCGGACTGAAAGGTCCCAGGTTCGATTCCGGTCAAGGGCATGTACCTGGGTTGCGGGCACATCCCCAGTGGGAGATGTGCAGGAGGCAGCTGATCGATGTTTCTCTCTCATCGATGTTTCTAACTCTCTATCTCTCTCCCTTCCTCTCTGTGAAAAATCAATAAAATATATTTAAAAAAAAAATAATAATTCAAAAGTTACATTCTCACAAACCTCAATTCTGTGTTAATGTTTCCATGAAGAAGCTTACCTAACAAAGGAACAGAATTTCTCATCTTAAACTGACAGTACTGGAGCCAAAATTTAGGTGTTCACATTTCTTTCTTTTTTTTTAAAGTATTCTTTTTAAAAATATGTATATATTTTTATTGTTTTTTTACAGAGAGGAAGGGAGTGGGATAGAGAGTTAAAAACATTAATGAGGGAGAAACATCAATCAGCTGCCTCCTGCACACTCCCTACTGGGGATGTACCCGCAACCAAGGTACATGCCCTTGACAGGAATCGAACCTGGGACCCTTGAGTCCGCAGGCCGATGCTCTATCCATTGAGCCAACCCGGTTAGGGCGGTGTTCACATTTCTTATACAGTGTGACATTTTCATTGGGCCCCTGGTTGTTAGGGAGTTCCGTACTGATCTTGTCACACGCAAAGGCATAGCGGACAAATTCTCCGCTTTAGTTTCCCTCATAAGCAGCCATAGGTCTTCTGGAAGCTCTGAACTGCAGTGAGCTTTATCTAGTTGAATCTGCCTTCAGGTGTGTGATTTCAAAGTTAAAACATACCCAATACCAAATATAAGTATTCAATAAAAATAAAAAAAGATTAAATGCTGCACACAGGTAAATACCGGATATCAGTGGTAAATAAAACACTATTTGTATTATTTGGAAAATAAAAAGATAATGACACCTGAATTTGAAGGTAGTAAACTTCCCCCCACTTGCAGTTATTGGGGCCATATTTAAACTATTTCATAAGTAAAATCATTGCAATAAAGTCTTTTTAAGTATATGTGTTTGGAGAGTTTTTCCTGATCTTTACTTATATTGTTTGTAGATATTTCTAAGCTTATTCTACATACATCAATAACTACATAATTAATAACCATACCAAAAGCTATAAGAAAGACACATGTTCAGTAGCCTATGTTCTCCCATAGTTACACAAATTCAACTTCGAGAAATGACGTATAATGTACCCCAAACATACCTGTGTATAATGAGTACATACAGGACCAGAACATCTGAATGGGCAATACGGGTTGCATTCATGTTCATATGGATAGGTGAAGTCTCTCACTTCATCATACCATGCTTGGACATGAAACGTCGGGGGCCTATATCTATTGGAAATAAAATAACCACAAAGAGCAAGTCAAGTTGGAGAAAATGTAGAACCAAATATTGAAAATAGATCGATAAAGTGGAGTAGAGAGATTTTTGTGTGAGGTATTAACCTTAAATACCTATACCCATTTCATTACTATCATATCAATGACTTAAAATAAAAATAAGTCTCAAATACTGTTGATCATCCTTGTATATTTATTTTTTATTATTCGTGTTGGTGTGATTATTTGTTTTCCTTTTTGGCACCAAGCCTTTGAAAATGTGCTACATGAATTAGCATTTCATTTCAAACATGTTGTCAGGAACAAAAAGTTACATGTGAAGATACCTTCCCCAATGTGCTCCCAAATTCTGTCCAATCGATGGAAGCAAACTTGCAGGCCCATGTTCCCACAAACAAGTTTCAGCCCAGGACTCTGCAGACCTCTCCAGCTCGACATCCCACGTCTGTAGTTCAAAACAAAAGCAAAATACAGATACCAACATTTAATACATATGTATAGTTTGGACATTTCTTCAAAATACAGCGTTGCTCAGTTCTCACATTTTCTCCCTTTGTACTCATTTGTAAAGTCAACATCTTAGTCTGGGTGCTCACCATCTCTCAAGATTTTTACACTAGCAGCTTCCTTAATGTCCTTGCCTCATCTCTTATCCCTCCAATATGCTCTAACAAGTGTTGAGAATTACCTAAGTGGACACAGATACACTGAAGTGATTCCTCTGTCTGAACAACATGCGACAAATCCCCATATCCATGAAGTTCAAGACCCTTGATCCCTCTGTTCCCCATCACAAACCCTGCTCTTCCTTGTTCTCTCTGGCATGGTTTCCTTTATCTAAAACATCCTTCTCCCAATGATCTGCCAGACAGACCCCTACTATTCCTTCACAACCCAGCTTTATGTAATGCATTCTTGACACCTTCTCCATTCTCTCAAATGCCAACTATTCCCTCCTTGGAGCTCCTGAAACTTGGTTAGACTCCTTTGTTTAACAGCTATTACACTGAAATGTTAGTATTTGTCTAATTGCTTATCTTTTTCTTGAGACTGAGTTGCTCAGGACAGCTATTTAAGTCATGCTGGTGTCTTTAACCCTATTTTCTGTGTCGTGTGGACTAAGTTTCATAAATGTTTGTTGAATACATGAGTGATTGAATCTGAATCCTATAAACATATATGCATCTTGTATACAAAATTCAATGAGAGTGATTCATTCACACTTTAAAAGTAATTTATAAAGAAATATTTAAAATTGCAAAATTACTACTGAAATGATTTTGCATGTCTTGGGTTTCATATTCAATTTGTTAATTTGTAAAACGGACAGTGTGGTCTTGCCAGAGCAGAGTCAAGAAGGATGAGGTCTGCTAAGTACTAATCCAAGATTAAGAGCAATTTCAGCTCAAAGGTAGGTAGAGAAACAGGAACACAGAGGGTTAAAGTGACAGGAAAGAGCAAGTCCGGAAAGCAAGTGAGGCTTGTTTGCTAATAATACTGCAGAGGGGAAGAAAAGAGAGAGGGCAGGAGCTTAAAAAGCTAAAATGCCAGGGATTAGGGAGAATGTGTTTGCTGGGTTTCATTTGGAAAGGATGACAGAAAGCTAATCATGGGTTCAAAGGAAGAGATGCCAGAGAGGGAAAGAACGGAGAATGTGTGGGGAGAAGTTTCTTCATTCCTTCACATACATTTTTATAAATGAACATGCCTTCTCACACAATTGTGAATCCGAAATACATAGATTCATGGTTTCAAAGCCCCAAAGCAAAATTTATACTAGATTAGAAGAAGTATATTCTTATTATAGGACATCTTTATTATCTAGCAAAAATACAAAAATGTATCTTTACATGAACTAAAAAATTAAGAGCAGCGAAAGTAGCTGATTTTCATAAAAGCTTTAATTTTACTTTGAACTGATGTCAAATATTCAAGATGACAGGTTTTGTGATAGAACCTGTATGCTTAAGTATTTATCAGGCAAGCCCTTTAGGTGCTAAACATGAGCATACTATTTCTTAAATCCTTAAACTAGACCTAGTTATATAATTAAATATTTTATGTAATTATACAAAGATACTAGAGGCCCGATGCACAAAATTCGTGCAAGAGTAGGCCTTCCTTTCCCTGGCTGCCGGCACTGCACTGGCTTCCCCCTGGTATCCGGGACCCGGGCTTCCCTTGCAGAACTGGCTTCGTCCAGAAGGTCGTCTAGAACATCTGGTCCAATTAGCATATCACACTTTTATTATTATAGATAATTCAAGTTGCTGTCATTATTACCCAAACAAACTAGGTAAGACAAAAATATTTGGCTACAGAGTCCCAGAAAATGAGCAAGAGGCTGATTTCCTTTTGTATCCAGTAGATTGGAGATTGGAGAGTCACCCCTCAAAAGGAAGCAGGCTTCCAGGGTAGAGCTCCCTGGAAAGTAGTTTGTCCTAGAGAGACAGACAAATTCTTGTCTTCAATCTTGGGCGTCAGGTTCTTGCATGGCACTTGGTTCACAAGTACAGTGGAACTACACTGAGCCGCAAGTTTCTAATCTAGCAACCGCGTACTCAAGGAGTAACCAAGAACCAGAAGAAAAACAAACAGTTCCTAGATGGCTTTTTAAAAAAACGCCTGAAACCACTGTAGTGATTATAAAGCCCAAGATGTGGAGTTGAGTCCTCTCCCCTTCCTTTCAATTTGAGCTGGAGAGCGATTCCCTTCTCATGGACAGAATGACACTGTGAGACTTCTCAGGCTCTACCTGCTTCTTTCTCTTTTCAGACACATCTTGGCAGGCGTGAGCCCAGCAGCCCTGCACAAGTAGCTGGAAAGATCATGTGGAGAGACCACACAGAGACAGAGAAATGTGGAGGAGCTCCTTGCTGGGGTTTTTCCAGCCCCCGCAGGAGACCTGTCAGTGTGCTTGTCCAGGTCACTGCAAACACGTGAGAGACCAGTGAGAATCACACAGCTGAGCCCCTGGAAGCGACCTTAAGACCCTTATCCAAGGTCATGTGACTCTTTTCTGCACATAATGCTACAACCTTCGATGTCAGTTTTTCCTATGAAGTTACAGATGGATCCCGTTTAGAGGGGATATACATACAACCAGCCCCAAATTCACAAAACAAAATGTTCTATTTGAAAAATTTGTGTTTATATCTGCTGTCTAGGAATTGAAATAAAATTTGAAACATGTCATTCAAATCCTTTAGGCTAAGTTTCCTTACTTATAAAATGTGTCAGTTGAAATAGAAGATAACTCAAGTCTCTTCGAGGACTAAAATTCAATTGATTATATGATATGGGTAAGCTGTTTTTATGGCATGACAAATTTTCTACCTAATCCACTAAAAATAAGAAGGGAAATACATATATCAAGCGAACTGTAAGACCAAACTAGGGACATACATTACTTTAATATAAGAACTAAGACAGAGGAGCCTGCAATTAAAATGTACTATCAATCTATATATATAAAAGCCTAAGTGACCAGAACAACCAGAATGACCGGAATGACTGGTCGCTATGATACTCACTGACCCCTAAGGGGAGGGAGGCGGGGAACGGCATGGTGGCAGAACACTGACGATGGCGGCATCGGCATCCGGTGTCCGTTCCTTCTGTGCCCAGCCCAGAGACTGTCGCCTCCTCTCCAGCCCGGTCCTGATCGGCCTGGCCCCGATCGGCCCTGATCGCCAGCCAGGGCTAGGGACCCCACCCGTGCATGAATTTCACACACTGGGCCTCTAGTATTTCATAAATATTAATTAGTGACAATTTTTAAAGTGATTATTTAAAAATCTATTCAAGCATAGGTAAAGAGTCTTTGGTAGATGCTAGGGAAGCTACTCAGCAATACATCTACAAAACCTCTCTTAGGGTCCTTTCTTTTTGGAGATGGTTTATTGTTGATTTCACATTTTTCCAATTCTGACTTTATCCCCCAGTGTTGGGATTGTCCCCTGTGAGCCCTCTCCTCCCCTACATATCAATCTATATATATAAAAGCCTAAGTGACCAGAACAACCAGAATGACCGGAATGACTGGTCGCTATGATACTCACTGACCCCTAGGGGGCAGACGCTCAATACAGGAGCTGCACCCTGGTGGTCAGTGCACTCCCACAGCCAACCTCCCCCAACTGGCCAATCTCCCCAGTCCCTCCCACTGGCTGGTAGGCCCTAATAGCCTGATCAGGGCCAGCCCCTGGGCTGGGACAGGGAACCGGGGTTGGGTGGTGGATGTGGCCCCTTTCCCAGGGGGACCAAGGGCTGGCTTCCTCCTTAGTAAGGCCAGCGGCCAACCTCTTGTGCCCTGTCCCTCCCCCTGGCCGGCAGGCCCCAATCAGCCTGCCACCCGCCCATGAATTTCATACACTGGGCCTCTAGTATTTAATAAATATTAATTAGTGACAATTTTTAAAGTGATTATTTAAAAATCTATTCAAGCATAGGTATTTAGGTTAAGTTCAATAACACAAATCAAGAAGATTCTTTAAAAAAAAATACATACTAAAAATATAGCTGTCCTAGAAGAAATATTACCATAACAACATGGAATGTATATTTTTATGCCACAACATTATATGTCAGGTTTTAAGACCACCAGTAATTCATACCAATCCCATTTAAATGCAGGTTAGTCTCTATACATTTCTATTTAAATTCAGGTTGTAAATTAAATCAAGATGGCCTGAAGGGCTTTTTTCCTCTCTGAACTATTCACCCAGCACTAATTTAAAGCCAAACCGCACTTAAAATTACCATTTCTTTATAAGATGGGTACTTGAGGTATATAGACATGAAAAACACTGTATTTTCCACCTACATCTAGGCTGTTTCTTCTTAGAACCCAGTAAAGCATCGAATGAAGTTTTATTACTAAAAGGAACAGAAAGCAATTGACATTCTTTGGCTCCAATGTTATTTTTAAGCTACTTCAACCTGGAGGCTCTACAGTGTGTGAGAGAGAGAGAGAGAGAGAGAGAGAGAGAGAGAGAGAGAGATCTTAAATATTACCAAAGGACTTTCAAAAGTAAATCTAGAAATATATAGTAATTTTAGTGCTAAAATGTTTTACTTGTAGAAATTGGAAGTTATGTAGCTATCTGACATGTACAGACAATTCCTTTGGCTGCAATACTTTGGAAAGTATAAATGAGCATATACAATTCTGATTCCTACTGGAATACCTGCTTATCCTGCTTTAATAAAAGACATTCAAAGAAGGTTGGAAATCACTCAACAATGTAGTTTGAAATAGAGTTAATATTGGCAGTTGCCAGTACCTTGGGCAAAATCAGTACTGTACACAGGCAAACACAGTCCTTAGTCATATTAATTTTTCCTTCTCTTTGACATGGAAATAGTTTTCTCTCTTAAAAATGATTATGTTGTCAAAAGCACCTCCTTGACCACAGTTAATTTAGAGCTTTTTCTAAATTCACA